ACCTGAAACCCCTTTCAGAAGCTTCAACCACTTCAGGTCATTTTAGGAATTTCAGGTGGAGACCTGAAACCGCTGAAGTGGCTGAAGCTTCTGAAAGGGGTTTCAAGTAACCCCATCYCACCATTTGCAATGGATCTGTAGACAATMTGAAAGTRGTGTATCAACCTGAAGTGGTTGAACTGCCTGAAGGCGGTTTCAGACAACCCCATGTACAGATCCACACACAATCTGAAAGTGGTGTAGTAACCTAAAGTGGCTGAACTGTCTGGAAAGGAGACCTTAAAATATATGCACCCGTTAACCATCTCTCGTGGGAGGGTGGGTGGATGGTGTGTGTGGGTGGGTGGGTGGTTGCGGGGGTGGTTGGCGGGCAGGCGGACGCTAGCTGGGTCGATGGGTGTGAGTGGGCGGGCGGCCGGACTGGGTCCGTGGGTGTGAGTGGACGGGCGGCCGGGTTGGGTTGTTGGGTATGAGTGGGCGGGCAATCGGGCAAGGTCGGTGAGTGGTTGGGTGCCGCGCAGGCGGGTGCGTGCACCCGCCCCATGCGTTTTGCCGAAAGTGACAAAACTGAGAGGAAGTGGAACGACGAACGTCCGAAAAACCAACAAAACAAAAGCCAGGGGAACGACAAACGCTTGGTTTCCAACAACATAAAAAAAAAAAGGCCGAGGGAATGCCTGCACCCAAAGCTGGGTAATGGTCCCAGTATTATCTGTTTTGTTTTCGGGTTGTATGTGGGGAATTCCGGGCCCCGTTTCTGGTTCAGTGTAATAAAGAGCAAAGCCTATTTTTTATTAAAAAAAAAAAAAACGACGAAAACAAAAGGAAAAAAAGGTTTCCAACAAAATTAAAAAGAGCCCGCAATGGAAAAAAAAAAAAAAAAAAATCCCACGAAGGCAGGAAACGACAAAAACAGAAGAAAACAAAAGGTCGTGGCAACGGGAAACGACAAACTTCGAAGGGGAACGAAAACCAACAAAAGAACATAGGACGAATTGGCGCGATATTTATTTCACGATCTTAAATATTTTAAAAATTTTTAAAAATATTTTTCATAGAAAGATCACAACCCAATCTACAGACCTATCAATTTTCAGATTTGTGGAGTCATCCTTCTGACCGCGAAAAATCGTGGAAGTTGGGGTACTTTTCCCGTTGGCCGTCACATGATACAACAGCAAAAGACCCCAAAAAATGAATATAGGACGAATTGGCGTGGCGTTTATTTCACGATCTTAAATATTTTTTTAATTTTTTAAATATTTTTCATAGAAAGATCACGACCTAGTCTACAGGCCTATCAATTTTCAGAGTTGTGGAGTTATCCTTTTGAGCGCAAAAAATCGCAGAAGTTGGGGTACTTTTCCCGTTGGCCAACACGTGCAAGAATGACAAAAATGGACAGTGCAACTAAACGGCACGGCATTTATTTC